CCCCCCCCCCGTTTTTGAGCACACAGTAAGTGTTGTTCTTAAAATGGTGTGAAAATGCTCAATACTGATTTTATTTTCCTCTACAGAAACCAGAGAATGATGACTGGGGATCCGGACTGGAAGCATGCCAGGCGGCATTGGACTTGGAGAAGCACGTTAATCAAGCCTTGCTTGATCTGCACAAAGTGGCTGACACTAATAATGATCCTCAGGTAAAGGGTTAAATTTTAAGCAGTTCCTTGTATGTTTGCTAGGGTGGGTGCAAAAGCAAAAGGGGAAGTCAGTGATAAAATAGTTAGCTACCTGAACCATTTGATTTCTAAACACCTACCACGCAGCCTTCTTGTGGACCCGTAATGATTAGATTCTGGCTGGTGCTGAAGGCAGGTCACTTCAGTTTGAAAGCACTCGCTAGAAGCTGTAGATCTCTGAATCAGTAGGAACACTGAACCAGCACAAGGTTTTGAGGAATTGATAGCATAGGCAAGAGAATTTACATATTGATAATTAAAATAAGCAAGTGATTTTCCTTTTTTCTTTCTCACGGTATTTCCTAAAAGAAATAATAATCAGTTTCCCTGTATTTATATAAGTTTTAGAAAGACTCGTGGAAGTTTCCAAGAACTCAAAAAGTTGTGGAAATACCTGCCTGTGGCTTTTGTTCCCCTGCATATGCCATTCTCTCAAACTTCCCCTGGTGTTTCTATAGCTTGATAGATATAGACCTTATTAGCGATACGGTGGCCATTTTAAATTCCGTTGTTTGAAAGTGCCATTATTGGATGCTCAGGGGGGGCAAATTAGTATGTATTTGCCCCCTAAACATCAATAATAAGTATTTAGAACAATGGAATTCAAAATGGCCACTGTATCAGTAAAAAGGTCTATAATGGTGTTCATTTGAAGGAAATGAGTGAAACTTCAGTGCGTGTCAACTCGAGCAACTCGAAAATTGTAATTTTGAAAACTGTTTCTAGTAATATTGCTAAACAGTGTTCAAGCAATAAGGTGTGGAATTGGTGAAACTTCTTTTGTTGACCAAAATAACAAGAACAATGCTGTGAATCCTTCCCTGTTGTAGATGTCAGACTTCCTTGATGAATTCCTGACTGAGCAAGTTGAATCCATCAAGGAGATATCAGAACTTGTGTCAAACCTGAAACGAGTTGGACCAGGACTTGGAGAATTTCAGTTTGACAAACATACTTTCGATAGTAATTAAGTTCCGGCTCCAGTTAGGTTCAATAAAGTACATCTGAATAAAAGCTCATCGAGGCTAATCTGTCACATTATGACAACTTGGATATATATGAGACGTGAAACTGCTGAAAACAGAAACAATCCAGAAGTTGTGTCATCGTTGTTAACTTTTTTCCTTTTTTTCATCTTCATTTCATTTGACTGTTTTGTTTAGTTAAGACATGAATGTTCGTTCATATATTCACATATCTACATTACATCACATATTCCCTTGTACTCTTCTGTTTTGTTGTGCTCAGTTTTGAAGTGTTTGCTTTGAGAAGGATTGACAAGCAAAGAATGCCTATATCATATTGGTTTTATTATTTCCTTGTTCACTTGTAATCACTATGCTTATTTTGTTGTAATGCTGAAAATAAAACTGGACGTGTCAGAAAATTGCCTGTCTGCTTGCATTCTTTAGCTTAGCTCTGTCTTCTTGCTGTTACTGGTGTGATTTTGAATGATCTTGGGACACGCTTTGGCGCACACATGCTGGACATCATAAACAATTTGGTCTGGGTGCCATATGTTATCATCAATGCTATTTCCTTCACATAAATTGATGTTATGTTGGATATTGTGCCCTATTTCCATTATATGCCACCTATACAGTTTGTTAAGCAGCATATTTTGATCTTGATCATGTAATTATAAAACAGTTGTTCCATGAAACAATTAGCAATGGTATTCCCAAGGGATACATTGAGAACATTTGTTTTGGGTTACAATCTGTCTACAGTAGGGAAGGACTGCTGGTGTACAATTTTCAGGCTACCACTGTGTATATTAGAACTAAAACTTATAGGAGTTCACAAAATTACGTAATTATACACAATGCAGTATTGGCTCTTATTGGAAACAAACTGGCCAATTCTTTTAAGTCCAACCTTGTTGAAGTGGAGGCGTAGTGGCCTCATGGTTAGTGCATTTGTCTCCGGATCGAGCGGTCCGGGCTTGAGCCCTGGCCAGGGACGTTGTGTGTAATCTTTGGCAAGACACTTTACCCTCACAGTGCCTCTCTCCACTCAGGTGTATAACTGGGTACCCGTGAGTTAAATGCCGGGGGTAACCTTGCATTGAACTAGCATCCCAACCAGGGAATTAAAATACTCCTAGTCGCATCATGCTACAGAAACTGGGATAAGCTCGCGCCTAATGGGCCACTTGGCTCATATGCAATCCTAGTGAACCTTGCCCAAGATTTTTGAACTAGTCTTCAATTTACACTAAACTCTGCAAGTAAGTCCAACCATCCTCTTTGTTATTTCTTGGCTAGATGATGGACTTCATCGAGGAAAATTTCCTTGAGGAGCAAGTAGAATCCATCAAGGAGTTCTCTGATTTTGTCACCAACTTGAAGCGTGTTGGCCCCGGACTGGGTGAATACCAGTTTGACAAGCTGACCTTGCAAGATGAGGACTAGAGGCTGTCAGCCATTACGTGTTTCTCTTCAACCTGATGGGCTTAAGACTTAAACATCTGATTTAACAGGACTGGGACTTTAGATTTTAAATTTTTAGTTGCTTTGTTTGGATTGTCTACTTTCTTTCTGTTATTTTTTTTTTTTTTTTTTT